ATTCGATTTTTAAGCTCACAAATTGTAACATCAGGCGTTGTGGGTATGTAATCTTAGGTCTCTGTGACGCATATCAGCGCCATTGTAGGTTCAGGCGATTTCGGGATAAATAGAGACGGAGACTTCCTGGTCAGTCAGACTTGCTGGACAGTCCAAACCAAAAGTTTGAAAGCTGAGTTCACTTGAACGAATAGAAGAAGCCTCGATTACATCAGTAACATATCCAACAGCTTGAGTTGTTCATCCGAACTGTTTTTGATCACATTTTTTACGACATTTTTCGTTTTTAGGGCATTTTAAAAAAATTTTAAGAACATTTTATTGATAATTTTTGGCGATGTTATATGTCATAAAAATCCATACCAATGTATGATATTTGGCTGCAGAAAATGTTAAGTAAACTAATATTATATTTCGTCTAAAAATGTCGTAAATAACAAGGATATTCACGTCTGGTTGAAATGGAAATGTATAAAATATTCGTTAGTTCAATTTACAAAATGTGGCGTAGAAATGTTTCCGATAATAGATCGATCGTGATTTTTTGTAAAAACTCCCTTTGATGAACTTCTTCCAAACAATTACTGAAAATTCTTCCCAACTGACGTTATAGCACCACTAGCTTGTTTTTGTACACTCATACTTTTGACTAACGTCAGGTCCGAGGATAGGGATGCAACCGATACGTCGATCCGGTTGATCAATTGATTTATTGATTGTTAGTGATTACAGACGCGTCAACTGCTAAGTGTAGTACATGTTTGTTTTCTCGAGAGATGGAGATCTAGTGGCGACGTACCGTTGGCTAGCGAGGTTTTCCCCAAACAGGTACCAGGAGAGGTGGCTCGGTGTATCAACTGATGTCACTGCAGTACCTCTGACCGAGAGGTCCTTACTTCGAGTCCCGACAGTGGCAAGATTTTCAAAACTAGCTTGTCAACTAGGTCAAATTTAGTCGCTGCCTGGAGGAGAATTCTAGCGGCCGGCTGCTCTAATCGGAGTTTCCCGTGGTTTCTCCGATCAACACCAGGCGTACCCTAACAAACACTTGTCCTATCTTCACTCTTTATTTACACACATTTACACTAACATCCTGCCACCGTCGGGACTCGAACCTAGGACCTCCTGGTGAGAAGCACTGCAACGACATCAGTTGATGCCCTGAGCCACCTCTCCCGGTACATCGTTCCCGGGCCCATCAATCTCAAGGGGGCCGATAAAGCCCAACGCGTCTCGTAGTTTTTATTAAAACCTCAACATTTAATTAATTCATTTAACTTTTATCGCACATAATCTTTTTGTAAATGTTTAGTTAATGTATTTTCCAAATTAGAGACACGTGCGGGTCACAGCTTGTTTTATATTACGTTCTGAGGCACAAAAATCAAATCCGAGAAAAAAAACACTAACAGCCACTGTGAACCGTCGAGAACCGAAGGGTATTCCAAGCCTTATCGAAATATAAGAAGATTACTGATTATAGGAAATGTCTGTTGAATTTTTTATAAGAGCCCACACTCCTTTGTTCCGGGGATAGAACTTTCTCTCGGCGGCCCTGCTTCGGTAGTAACATGGGTAGGTGATGAGCATAGAGAATGGAAAGAACAATCATTGATAGAGCAGGATAGTTTGTATCACATTTTCTATTTGGCGAAATTAATGCCATTAGCACTTATCGAATACGCCGAAACATGAATTTGATTACACCTCTTTTCGTTGCTACGGTCTAGTCGTCTTCGCCCACCCCGCTCCCCCGCCTTCGAAGTTGTTGAATAACGATGATATCAATGATCTTTACAAAATCTGCCTGGTGTTTCCAGAGTGCGTACCAAAATGTGAACGTGTAAATGTTTATTTTTTCCTTCTACTTGTCGATATCAGTAATTGATGCGAAGAGAATCAAAACTTCAAATGTAGATCTGAAAAATTGATATCTGATTCCCAAATGTACGAAAAAAGATCTAGAATCTGTAAACTTTAGTCTAAAACATTGTATATACGGTCGTTTCATAACAAAGCATTCCCTTTGCACTTTCGTAAAGAAATGTTTCTATTCTTCGTTTTAATATTGATAGCGTAGAATGAGAAGTCTCTTCTTGTCTTCCATAATTCTCTGTGGTCTCAGCCAGTACTTACAAATTTCGGAGATAATCGTTCGTTTCCGTCGCCAATTTGTCGTCTTCAACCGCACACATAAAGCTTGCACGTCACGTCTAGTCATTTTTGTCCTCTACAAGGCAAATTACAAAGTTTAAAAATAACATGAATAATGCCAAATGTATACATTTTAACTTCATGAACGCTTATACTATGTGTTGGATATTGTGAGAGAAAAATATTAAGTAAAACAGAAGAAATATATTATACCAGAATTAAGCAAAACATATGAAAAAAATAACGAAGTTTCAATTTGGTACACCTTATAAAAACGTAAGCGAATACAAAAAAAATAGATGTGACCAATATGAATGTACTGTATGAATTCGAAATTCAAATCCTCAATTTCAGCCAGTACTTATAAATGCATGATTTCTTACTCACAGATTTAGGGTAATTCATAACGCACCCTGCAAATTTCAGAATTTTATTTCAGCTTATTGTTAATTCATTTCTTAGATTTAAACGCAGCAAATTTTTGAGAATTGCATTTTGTGAAGGTAGTATTTAATTCTCGGATATGGGTTTGGCCTAGTAATGCAACTTTGTAACAGGTGTGCTGGATCGAATAAACTTTGCTAATAAATAGTCATTATCTTCTGGCCATTGAAACTTTTTATCGTCAGTTTCATGAGAAAGATAATTAGTTCAATGCTTTATCTGCACTAAACTTAAATTAACTGGGCATATGATTCCGAATTAAACTAGGAAAGTGTTTTATCACGTTAGAGTGACGAGCGTTGCTATTTCCAAGTCATAGGTCATTGAGGATGAGAGTGAGAGAGAGAGAGGAAAAAAGACTCTGCCTCAGAGAAATACGCCTTCAAAGTACTAAAAAACATGTGCATAGAATGATCAAACTATTCATTTTTACATCCTTTTAAGTGTTTCATACTACAATGGTATAATTCAAAATACAACGTAGAACTGTGGCATATCTAATATTCAAGGTTTTACAAGGCTCATATCTGCAATGTGACTTGTTCACTATCATTTCAAAAGTACATTTTACGTCACGTCTGGAAAATTCACATTTTAACACAAGCAAAGACAAAAATTACTGAAAAAACAACTCTTTTTGTGTTGTAATCTTTAATCGTTTCAATGTCATATGCTCCCATCTAATAGATACAAACAAAAATGTTTGTAATTATGGTGCTAGCAAAGACTACTCAAGAGACAACACCCAACTATAGTGGGGCATTTAACAATGAAAACAGGACGTATGTGAGAAAGTAGATGACATTACGACACACTCTATTCTGAAAACGCCTTCCAATATCTACACTATCCAGCTACATGAACATTACACAACCTCTATCAAGCACAACCACAAAATGGCGATAAACAAAAAATTAAAACTGTAATCTATTGTCTGTTTTCATAGTAGTACCTCATACAGATTGTAAAGCTTATTAGGTAACATAAGGTTGTTTTTGTCTTTGAATCTACTGAATTAAGAGGCCAAAGATATGAAACCAGTGAAGCAAGGTCTAAGATGTCGAGCAATAAAAGTCTTCAGAGATAACTAATTAAGTGTTTACTTACGATTTAAAATATCTTCAAGTGCAAGCAATCCACTCTACAAGATTTGTAGAGTGGATTGCTTACTCTCTAAAGAGAAAACGACTAAGCATATCCAACACGTATAGTATATTTCATTGTTTGTTGTTTTTGCACTGATTACACATAATAAAACATGGTTATTTGTTCCGATTCAGTAATTAAAACATATGTAAATGCACATTACCTCCCTATATTTACCTGTGGATGACACAATATGTTAAAGTTCGTTAATTCGATAAGTTTCCTACACTCTGCAGAGGATCAAGGAAATTAAGTAAAATTCTCAATAGAAAGCGACTTCGTATTAATAAGACTAATTTTCCTTCTCTAAAATTCTGCTCTATTTAAACGAGTTTGTTTCATCTTTAGAGACTGAGAAAGAAACGGATAGAGAGCGGGAGGGAGAGGGAGGGAGAGAGAGGGAGAGAGAGGGAGAGAGAGAGACAGACAGACAGACAGAGAGACGGAGAGAGACATAGAGAAAAGAGAAACATTTAACTAAATGACTTCATTTGTGGTGTGTAACACTTCGAATGTTTCTAATTTCTTTATGATAAATTTTTATCAATATCATTGGTTCAGAAGTATAATTAAGATATAATATTTAAAAGGAATATTTTATTTCTTTTTATTTATTTATATTTTATTATATTTAATATTTAAGAAATAATTCCGAAAATATTCCGAACGTCATTGAAGGAACCTTTGAAAGAGAAGTCATCGGCATAGTTCGTCAGAGTGTTCCGTTTCCATAAATTCAGTGCTTTATAAATTCAGAACGGGGCGACAGAGGAACATTCCAGGCTATTAATGTATTCAACAGGCATAATTTCAGCGAGAGTCACGCACCACGGCGAAGCGAAGGCCGACATGTTGACCAACTTCTGGCTTGCATTATACTTATTGGTAGCGCACTGGCATCCGCATTGCTCGATCACCTGTTCTCCTCGCCCAGAAGCTGCAGAATCTCGCTACCTCGAATGCAACAGGTTGCGGAAAAGCGTATACGGCTAAACATTATGTTTATTTCTTTCTTCCCATTGCTCTTCATTTGAACCGACAAGTGATTGGGCTACTTCCTCTATCAAGGGCTTGCGCTATCTCAGAAAGTGGTAGTACTCGATGTTCCGTTAACCGAAGTCAACGGAGATATCCCCTCTCCTGGCTGCCCACTCGTGGTTGCTGTACCACTTTGTTCTTGCCTGGCGACTGGCCGGGGCTGCCGCTTGGGTCACCGCTGCGCCGCCGCCGCCGCCGCCGCCGCCACCGCCGCCGCTACCGCCGCCGCCGCCGCTGCCGCCTGCACCGTCGCCGCCGCCGCTGCCTACCCGCCGTTCCCTGTCTCGCTCGCAGGGTGCGCGAGACAGGTCGGATAGCGCCAGAGCGGTCTCTGCCCCGAAGGCTATCGGCTGTGATACGTGTACGCAAACAACGGCGTCTCCCACCGAACGGTACCATTAGAGCGGAACATATGTGATTGAAGCGATTGGGTGTCTCGTAGGTTGTGGAAGGCGAGAAGGGATCGGCGTCGCTGGTGAGTCAAATCTGTGTCCGGAAACGCGCTTTACGAAGCGATGTCTTGGATCGAAGATCCAGGTGTCACGGAATTCCGAGGCCTCAACCTTTCTTCTCTGGGAGTGGATGAGGCCTTCGTAAACATCACCTCTGACATTCCTAACTTGTGGATCTACACTCTTTCTTCGCAATGTTACAAGGTAAGAAACACAACAATGACATTGAAGATATCTTAACGCATGTTCATTAAAATTAAAAAGGGATTTCTTAAAACTTACTTACTTGTTGTGATTTTCTTGAAGACGGCGTTCACTGTCGGCGACGACGGATTTTACGGAACCGAACGTGTTTGTAGTTGAGTAGAACGTGAACGAGTAGTTGATTTTTGGAGAAATGACCGGCTTTGTTTACATTAATTTTTATCCTTTAGATCACTGACGCGCGTAATCCCATCTAACTACAGTACGGGCAATACTGCCCAGTTGCTTTAAATACAAATCTCTTCTACCTACTTGGCAACGAGCTTCTTTTTCTATTTTTACCTTCTGAGCAAGACATGAACCAACTTCAAAAGTGCGTTACATACGTCTGAGGCGCTTGGCAATCTTCTTCCAATCCCAAAGCATATGGCAACAGGGCAGACGGAAAGATTTTTTTTTCCTTTTGATGTTTTCTGGAGACTCCTGAGTGGCACGACCACAATTAGAGAGACATGCATACATGTATTTCGGTTAATAAACACCTTTCTCGGCTGTGGAAATTGGTTGCTATGAACAGGACAGTAGCTTTGTGGACAATGAATAAATAACTTATTTACTCAATCATGTAAACAACAGCTTCTGCGACAAATGTTGACAGGGAGGGAGAGCAAGACTACCGATTACATTGCGAGGCGTGGTCCGCGAACAGGTTGCGCGAATATATCTGGGTCAAACCACCGTCGCGTCGTGCCTTTTCGCGTTCGCTTCTCGGCGAGCTTCCAGCACGTATTCGGTGAACTGTGCTTTAAAAGTGGGCGTTTTTACCAGTTGCTGGCATTTAGGGTGTAGGAAGAAAATACCTAAAGTTATAACGATTAATGAAATTAACCGAACCTTCTTCAGATGCTCATGATTGGGGTATTGTATTATTATAAAAGAACGGCAAATTTATGGTAAAACGTAGGCTTTTGTTCTTAATTTTTTTTAACCTTTTAATGTATTTTTAAATGTCTGCGTGAATGGAACTCAGACTGCACTTTCTTTAGCCCCGTTTTGGAGAAGTATAAGATACATGCGTCTATAAATTGTGGAATGAATGGTCAAATTCTGAAATCTTCCAAATTGGGCTGTTCCAATAATAATTTACGATAGAATTGAAATGTACGGGCTCGAGATATTGATATTGAAAGCCACACATTTTAGTGTGCAGAAATCCCAATTTATTTATTTGAGTCATACAAATTTTCATTGAATTATTATTCATTTCTCGAATGAATTGATTTTCTTCAATAAAATGGATAATATTTCCAGCTTTTCTTGTTTCAAAAACGTTTAAATGAGTACCCTTGAGTCCGTCTTAAAACAGCTTGTTTTCGCTCATTTTCCTATCCCCTCTCCCGATTTTGACACGTGCTTTTGTTGACGTACGAACCTGTTGTGTTTGATTTGCTCTGACAGAATTTATTACACCAAGTTAGGGAAAAGTAAGCTAGAGCGACGATGATGAGACATATTTTCTTCCATTTAAAAAAAATATCAATGACCGCTAAAGTAATGAATTAATTTTTCGATTCATGCTACTGTTTTTATGCACTTTACCGAGATTTTCGATATTTCTCATAGATTAGCGTCCTAGTTACAGAACAAACGAATTCTTTCATAAATTGCCATCTTTAAGAGTTAATCCATTGAATATATTGAAAAATATAAGCTTTTGTTATTACATTTTTTTATGAACAGATTTTTTTATCTGAATGGACTTCTAAAACTGTTGAAACATTTGAACCATTAATTTATTTTCTATATATATTTACACCGTTACAAAAACAAGGATTATTATGAATTTATGGCAGTTGCTAAAGGAATTACTGATTATAATTGCCGGAAAAGGAAGAAGTAATCAAGACCAATAACTTTTAAAAAATTTCTGCCCTACAACACATGATTCATCTACTTTTTAACAAAACTGGACTCCATTTTTTCTCGTGATGGTATAGCAAAATAACAAACGACACATGCCAAGTAATAGGATATTATTTTCCTTCTTGTTTTTATCATAACACTGATCGGTGAGGGTCGTGTCCTTGAGATACAACAGGTCTTAGAAGTAAAGTAAAGGGGAAATGCTGCCAGAACTATGCTTTTGTCATGAGCGCACGCGGAAACGAAATTGAAACTCTCCAAACATTTCAAATTCTGTCTTTCAATCATTTGATCACAAAATAGCAATTCATTAGTAGTATTCATTTTAAAGGATATTTAATTCTCTACTTCTGCAATGACGATATTGTTGTAAAACAAGGGCAAGAAGGCTATGTTGGTCGGAAAGGTATGGCAATAAGCAATTTTGATTTTTTTTCGATTTTCTTTCGAAAATGTTAAATCGAAAATCTTAGAAATAGAAAAAAATAGTTTCTTAGGCGTTTTTTAATTATTTTTAAATCTAGTACCTAACTTTTCACTACGATGTATCGTTGTCGATTTATAAGCGATAAAACATTTTTTCTTTAGAGCTGTGTTTGAAATGGTTAGAAGAATATCAAGAAGTTTTCGAATCTACGAAATGTACGCGGTACAGAGGGTTGTTATACTAGGTCCCATAGGCTTGCCGGGGGGGCTGCTTATGACTCCCTTGATAATTTAGAGTGGGGCCCTCCAAACTTATGTAATAAAACATTTTATTTCTGTAAGCAAGTTCTATACCTGATTTTACCCTTTTCTGAACCTAACAATTTGAGTAATTGTTATACAATTTTATATAATTATACAATTGGGAAAGAGACTCTCCAAGCCATCTAGAAACCCTATAAATTAGTATCATAAAATTAATTGATTTAATTAATTGTATCTTTGAAGTTATGATATAATTATCCTTGTAGAGTTTCATTTATTATTTTGTTAAGTATGTCATTGTGAATAAAAAAGTTTAATGGAAAAGGGGATCCAGAAATATAGCCTCCTTTTAGGTTTTTGCTTCTAGTCGTGACATTTCATATCAAAGGAAAAACAAAAACAAACAAAAAAGCCTGTGAAAAAGCAAAAGCGGCACTTTTGCCCAGGCAAAGATTTTCAGGACAATGTAGTAAGAGTCTGAAAATGGGATGATCCCAATTTTGTGTGACATACACAAACCCTACTTCAGAACAATTCTAATAAAACAGAATTTTTGAATGGAACATATCAATGTGGCTTAATCAAAGTGTCTTTGGAGTTGATCTACTCACATCAAACTGATTAATATTTTTACTCATTACTGTAAGAATTGGAGTAAAATATTTTGTTTTGGAAATATAGGAAGAAGTGTTACATCAAGATTTGAAGCTGGTAGTATGATGATTTTCAGTAATTTTGATGATTGTCATAATCTGTTTTCTGTATGAAAATTAAAACTGTATTTACTTCTACGTTTGAAATTTTAAGAGAAATTAAATTCTTATTTAATATAGTACTTAAGACCCATGAAATATTTTATACAAGTTCCTCTATCAATTCCAAATTTATTATTGTACTGCAAATATTGTATAATTTTCTATGTATTCATTAGAGTACAAACAAGAAAAAAAAATTAAGATCATTGATTTATTTACTGCATAATACGTTAATTAGTATATTTAGAGATTATTATACTGTTTATCAATGAATAATATATGTTAAGTTAAGATGTAGCAATTTGCATAGTTTTTTCTTATGCCATTTTATTTTGTAGTTTTATAAATTAACTATTTCTACTGAAATAATTTTCTTAAATCATGGTTCATTTATAAAAAAAGGTTAGAAGTCTGTATATTTTGTTTTCTTATTCTACATTGGAGTAGAAAAAGTACTTTTTTATGGGATGTTATTTATAGAAAATTTTGGTTTTAGTGCCCCTTTTCTCGTAAATATGAAATTGATGACATCCAAGAACCATTAAAATATTCCACTCGTTATTCTGAAAAATGGAGAGTTGTGTCAGATGGCTTTCCTCCAACTATTTCCACAGATAATCAAAGGTATGTGAACAAAAATATTTTTAGTCCTTTCCTTTAGCTATTATAGAAACAAAGTACTTGGGTAACAAGTGTTGTAGCTGAAAGGTACCTTAATTAGAGTTTACTTGAGACAGTGAAGAAAAGAGAATTAATTTTTTTACGGTTATACTATGATTTACATTATGGTATGGCCTGGAGTCAAGGCTATTTTATATGAATTTGGAAAAGGCTATGATATTATAAACATATTGCAAATTTCCTGTATTAAAAAAATTACTATCTTATTACAAAAATATACTTAAAAATATAAGTGGAAATCACACATCTTTAAATTAATATATATTTTTATATGGAAAGGAACCGTGGTAAAAAAGTAGATGTATTCAGTATTTACTTATTATTTTTTAGAAATTGACATCTTAAGTTCTTAAGTTGAAGAAACTTTGTACTTGAAAGAAAGGAAAAGCTTTAAGTTGTCTTTAGTCATATTTTTAACTTGTAATAGTGTTACAAGTTAAACCTGATGTTTTTCTTTTGTAGCATTAGCTTAGAAACTTGGATGTTTCAAGAAACATCCTACCATGGTATCTCTAAACATCCTCATTTTATTTTCCCTAAATGTGAATTAATGATATGAACTTGAATTACCTACTGGAAGGCTTAATTGGAAGTATAACTCAAAGTTTTATTTCTTTCAATTGTGGCAAAACATGATGGCTTCAAAGTTTTAAAATGTTTCAAGTAATAATAATAATAATAATAATAATAATAATAATAATAATAATAACCATAATAATAATAATATTTTAAATAAATATGGTTTTTTTAACTCTCGTATAATAAATGTATTTAACATTTTTTTCAGTTTATTTATTATTAAAATCATAATTTTTACTACATCATTGACAATTTTGACTAGTAGGAATAGAAAATGCTGCAGTTCTTTTTTAAGGTTTATGATCATGATCTTATTTCTTTTCAGTTCTGTTCTTTGTGAAGTTGACATGAATTTAGGTGAATTTGGAGTGTATGATCTCTGGATACATGATGGAGGAGGTGAAATTCTTTGTGAATTTACTACTATGTTGAAACCTGTTAATATATATTTTCGTAAGTCTGCTTTTGTATTTTTTTGTTTATTTGAAAAAAAGCTGAACATTGTATTAATTGTATAGTATTTCTATTTCTTTTTTTTAAATTTATAATTACAGCTCTAGTCATATGTGTTCTTGGTCTTATTTTACTTTGGGGTCTTGTTGCTGCCTCTGCTGCCATTGTCAATCAGTGGAAACAGAATAAAAATCGAACTATTGCTCCTATTGGTCATGAATTAGAAACATCCGATGATAAAGATAAAATTAGTCCAAACAAAAAATCAACTTCAAGAAGAAGAGTTAAAGCTTTGGATACCTTTCGTGGGTAAAAAACATTTTGATTTATTTTTGCTTTTCTAAATATTTTAATCTAATTTCAGTAATATTACATATTTTATGTATTTTTAGGATAAGTATTGTACTTATGATTTTTGTTAATTATGGAGCTGGAAGTTATGCAATACTAGAACATGCTATATGGAATGGTTTGCAATTGGCTGATGTTGTGTTTCCTTGGTAGGTTAAAATAGCAATTATTTCATTAAAGCACAATTTTTCTTTGTTACCTCACTATTATATTTTTACAATGCATGTATTAATGCATGTATTTCTGCAAATTAATGGATTAGGTTCATGTGGATAATGGGGGTGTGCATTCCTATATCTGTTACATCACAAATGAAGAGAAATGTTTCTCGATTCAAAATGTTTGCTGGAGTGTTAAGGGTAAGTAAACACACCATTTTTTAATATCAAAATCAAACTAACAAAGATGAAACTATTTGTTTTTATGAGTTGTATATTTAGATTAGTTTCATTGTATTATGTAAACTTAGACATCGAGACCTTATTAAAGATACAAATTATTATTAAACATAAAATAATATTTCATTTTTAAGGTACATACTTTCTTACTAGTACAATTGCCTTCATTTCCTATTTAGAAGAAGAAAGTTCAATTTTTGTTCTTATTTTTTCGTAAATTGAATAACTGATGCCAAAATAACATAATTTACAAGTACATGATGAAAATGTAATAAGAACAATCAACAAATTAGTGTTATTTTATTTTGTAGAGATCCTGCATTCTTTTTTTACTTGGTGTGATGCTGAATACTTTGTCAGTAGGAAGTCACCTAGAAACCTTACGAATCTTTGGAGTTTTACAACGATTTGGTGTAGTTTATTTTGTTGTAGCTACAATATCTATTTGCTTTTCATGTCGACACTGTAATACCCCAAAGGTAAGTCATAATACATTCCCTCCATAATTTTGATTATAAATGATAGATATATAAACTTGACATTACTATTTTTTAAATCAATGTAAAATGAGAATCTATAAATATAAAGATGCAAAACCTCAAGGAAATTATTAGATATGAACATCAATTGGGTCAAGAGATGTTTAGTTGAGCATTTGACTTTAAAAAGCCTCATAAAAGTTTGTTGGAATGAATAAGATATTTTTATGTATTTTGTTTATGATCTAGAAAATTAACTTGAAATTTCAGGTTAAATGCATAGCTGCAATTCAAGATATTTTGATATTACTCCCTCAGTGGATTGTTGTTGCTTGCTTTGTTGCTGGACATTGTGCTTTGACATTCCTGCTTCCAATTCCAGATTGTCCGATGTAAATATCTCAACAAAAATATAAGTATATTTTCCATAGTTATTAGTGTAACACTACCTCCTAGAATGTGAATGTTTCTGGTTAAGATTTTAATCAGCTGATGTTGGGCAGAAGAGAGCCAAGATTGGTAAATGTAAAAGTCCAAAAACTTCATATTTAACTAGGTGCATTCAACTGCTTTCAATATACTCATCTCTAAAGTAGGCATCTACATTGCCATGATAGATGAACAGGTTATATCACATTGACAGTATGAGTATGGTGTAAAATTGGAAAATAAACTTCTTCTACATCATGCATTGGAGGAAGATGAAGCAGCAATGGAATATTTACTACATTGAGTCTTTAGATGCTTAAGGGAAAAAAATATTATTATTTTTTACAAATTGAAGAAATGAAAGTGAAGCTACTGATCTGAATATAACTGTTGTTGTTGTGTTAGCTCCACAATGGAAGGCATTAATATTCCATGTTTCTCAATGAAGTAGCAAGTAATCTCAATTGCACCATATGCAAATAAATTTCCTAGAAATTATTATTTTTTTTATTGCTGTTGTTGTAAGTTTCAAATATCAAAGTCATCAATATATTCTGAATTGAAATCTATTTCCAGTTACATTATTTCTTTGAGAAAAAATTTAGTATTGTTCCACAATTTTTAAATTATTGAATTTATAATCATCTATTAAAATTAATAAAATATTTCAATTAAAAAGTTCCAACTTATTAGTAGAAATGGGAAAACTGATTGGAAATTAAGAGGCAAATTGTTGGAAAAGGTGCATGGTAGACAAGGAAAACCTTTAAATACCTTGGAAAAATGGAATGAAGTGCTGATGATATTACAAGATGAAACAGAAAAATAATAATTCAAGGTTTTTCTTTTTGAAATGGAATTATGTGTTGATTATTAATATGCATATGGTGAATTACATCCTTCAAAGTGCTGTAATATTCTAATGAGTGAGACCTGCACAAGAGATGATTATGATGATGATGATGATGATGATGATGATGACCTGTGGTAGTCTGTAGATGTCAACTAAATCATTAAATATTATTCAAAAACAATAGAAAAAGATAGTTACTTTTTTTGCACAATAAGTGCTTTGCAGAAACAATTTTGAGAGATGAGTATATAAAAAAAATGTGGACATATGTAATGTGAGTTATGTCATTAAATTTCTTACCGAACTAGAGATATAATATTAACTTATGTAAATAAAAAGTAGGTTGTTTTGAAAGAGAAAAGTTGAAAGAGTTAATAAAGGAATATTTTTTTAGAGGTTTTTGCAATAAATATACAAAAAACAGTGGATGCAATTTCTTCTAATCATGCATGCACAGCAATTCTGACTTACCAAAATAATAGAATGGATATGTTTGGCTCAGTGGCGTTGCTTCAGTTGGTGTCACCAGGGGCAAACTAATAGTCTCCCCCAACACCCTCAAAAAATAAATATAAAAATATCTGCTACTGAATATTTTATACATTATATAATAAAAGTATGAATATTATTGAATACTATGTCACCCCTAAAATGGT